CCGCAAAAGGCGGGCACCTTCCTGGGCTAGTGCGGACATCGTGGACCTTGTCCACGATCTCCGCACTAGGCACAGGAAAGTGGCCGTCTAGGGCAGGAGAGCTGCCAGCCTGGCCACCCAGGAGCAGGTGTGCATGAAAATCAAGGGGGTCCACTGAGACCCCCGACCCTGAGCCCTGAGCTTACAATGGCCGTCCTGGGTCAGACCAAAGGTCCATCTAGCCCAGTAGCCTGTCTGCCGACAGCGGCCAACCCTAGGGACCCTGGAGGGGATGGACCGAAGACAGTGACCAAGCCATTTGTCTCGTGCCATCCCTCTCCAGCCTTCCACAAACTTTGGGCAGGGACACCACTCCTACCCTCTGGCTAATAGGACTCCATTGACCCAACCTCCATCACTTTATCTCACTTCCCTTTAAACTCTGTTCTAGTTCTAGCCTTCACGGCCTCCTGCAGCAAGGAGTTCCACAGGTTGACTCTTTGCTTTGTGAAGAACAACTTTCTGTTACTAGTTTGAAGCCTGCTACCCATTCCTTTCCTTTGGTGTCCTCTAGTCCTTCTTTATGGGAACTCAGGAAGAACTTTTCTGAATGCACCCTCTCCACCCAACCCCTGCTTTTAGAGACCTCTATCCTGTCCCCCCTCCGTCTCCTCTTTTCTAAGCTGAACAGTCCCAGTCTCTGTAGCCTTTCTTCATCTGGGACCTGTTCCCAACCCCTGATCATGTTAGTTGCCCTCTCTTCTCCCAGCCTTTCTCTTCCCCTCTCCCACCTCCTTTTCCCAGTCTCCCCCAGTTTTTTTCAATAAAGACAGAGTCAATGTTGGAAGAAACGTTATCTTTATTTTGTACATCAATAAGAAGGGGGGCTAGGGAAGGGTAAGTGGAAGGAGGTGAGGGAGGAATGGGGTACGAGCCCCCGATGGGGAGGACTGGGCTGGCTCTGCGGGCTTCTGGGGGTGGAAGCTCTCCTGCAGCCCCCCGATTGCCCCCTCTCCCCAGATGGCAGCCTGCGGCAAGTGCAGCCGGTCTGATGGCCGAGTGCTGTGATGTGCCCAGTGTGGGTACTCCGGGCACTGCAAGCCAGGACTGCTTTGCAAGCGGGGCACCCCTGAGAACTGTCTGTCCGGGGTGGGGGTCGGGACCCTTTAAGCGCAGCCCTCGGCTAGCCTGAGACAGCATCTCCATGCTCTAAGTCCTCCTCTTATGCCCTGCCGGCACTGCTTCCGGCCATCCTTAAGCCCTGTTCAGGGTCCACTCAATGTGGACTTGCTAGTTCGAATTAGCAAAACGCTAATTCGAACTAGTTTTTAGTTCTAGATGCGTTAGTTCGAATTAGCTTAGTTCGAATTAACTAATTCGAACTAAGTTAGTTCGAACTAACTCTGTAGTGTAGACATACCCTAATAGAGTAATGTGCAGGGTGTGGGGGCAGAAGACCAGAGTCCTTTTTCTGGCATTGACACCGACTGCTGTGTGACTTTGGACATAACGCTTCACCTTTCTCTGTTTTGGGTTTCCCCAACTGCAAAATGGGGGAAATGACACTAATCCTCTTTTGTAAAATATATTGAGAAGCAAGCTATTTAAAAGAAAATCATTATTATTGTTTTACACATTGTTCATAAAACCCTGAGTGTTTCTTTACACACATGTTTTTGTCCTGTGAGGGGAGATGTCCATCGCAAGTAATAATTACTATGGGAAAGACATAGGCTTTCTCTCTGCATCAAGATGATGATAAATCTCTGCATTTTACCAGAAAAATCCCACCATATTTAATAGGAGGAAACCAACAGGATTCTATTAAAATTACTCTCAGATCTTATGAAATTTAAGAAACTCTTTCTTTAGGTTATTTACTGTCTGATGGATGTCTATAAAACTGTAGCATAATTATTAAAATCTCTACAATGATTCAAAAAGATTACAAAAAGTTGTCATTTTATATTATATTCTATAGGACTAATTCCCCAAGGGTACGTCTAGACAGCGGAGCTATTTCAGGATACCAGAGATATCCCAAAATAGCTATTCCGCATCTTTTACATGCGCCTGTTATTTCAAAATAGATTTTGAAATAATGGGTGTGCTTTTCTGGTATCCCTGTAATCCTTAATCCATAAGGGTTAAGGGATGTCTCCAAATAGCATGTTATTGCAAAATACATTCAAAATAAGCTATGCAATATGTATAGAGCAAATTGTGTAGCCTATTCCAAGATAAGGGTGCTGTCTAAGCGCACCTCAAGGGACATATTAAACGGTTCAAAAGTTAGTGCCTGGATTCCTTGCTTTTGTTACTACCTGTGCTACTGACTGTGTGATCTTGAGCATGTCACTGAAATTCCATGCCTCAATTTACTCATCCATATAATGACTCAAACAGTACACTACTATCTCACAGAAGTGCTGAGATTTAACCAATATACCTGAAGTGTTTTGAGATCCTTAGATGAAAAGTACTATATTTCATATTATCAGATAAAAAGATCAGTTAGCATTAATGATAAATTTAAGTACCAATTTATGCATGCTGATGTCGATAAAATACATTTGTTTCATACAACCACTTTTTATTAATCCTCAGTAATACGTATTAAGTCTAAATCATGTGCATAAAAGCAAAGTAATGCACATTGGAAAATATAATCCCAACAATATATAGAAAATTATGGGATCTAAATTAGCTGTTACCGTTCAAGAAAAAGATCTTGAAGACATTGTGGATAGTTTGCTGAAAACATTTGCTTAATGTGCAGCCGCAGGGAAAACATCTGCTTAATGTGCAGTGGCTGTGGAAGAAAAGCTAACCATGTTAGAAACAAATAGGAAAGAGAAATATGGAAGAACAATAAATGTCATAATGCCCCTATATAAATCCATGGTATAATTAAGAGTGTAGAACTGTTTCTGTAGAGAGAGACTGGAACCTTTCAATCTGGAAAAGGCAGTAAAGGGATTATGATAGAGGTTTATAAAATAGTGAATGATGTAGAGAAAGTGAGTACAGGAGTTTTATTTACTGCTTCACATAACACAGGAACCAGAGTCATTCAATGAAATGAAAAGGCAGCAGATTTAAAACAAACAGAAGGAAATACTTCTTCACACAATGTACAGTCAACCTGTTGAACTCCTTGCCCAAGAGATGTTGTGAAGGCCAATACTACAACATGGTTCAAAGAAGAATTAGATAAGTTCATGAAAAATAATTCTATCAACATCTATTAGCCAAGATGGTCAGAAATTCAACCATATAGACTTGGATGTCCATTGCCTCTGATTGCCAGATGTTAGTTGATGAAAGGGCAGATCACTCGATTTGTCTGTTTTGTTGATTCCCTCCAAACCACTTAGGATTGGCAAGTGTTGGAAGACAGGATACTGGGTTAGATGGACCATTGGTGCAACCTGCTGTGGCAGTTCTTATGTTTTTATTTAATTAATTAAATTTAATATGTTACACTCTCACTAAATATTTTAATGATAATGTAATATGTCATTTTTAGGACATTTTGACCCAAATTGAAAGCTCATTTTCTCAATGTGGCTATACAGGGTTTTGGTTTTTTGTTTGTTTTGCAGGGGTATCAGTCTCTAATATTTCTAATTCTGCAAAAGTGCCATTAGAGTCCCCTAAACAGGAGAGCACACCCTGGTACCCTGCTGAAAATGAGATTGGACCGTCACCAGATTTACCATACATATGTGTGTCAACAGCACCTAGTAAGTAAAATAACATGAGATACATATTTTTTAATGGTGGAATGAATGTGTACATAGGGACAGTTTGCACTCCCAACACTGCATAGGAACACTACATTATGACCCAAACTCACCCTTTATTGTGTGTTTTGCCTTTATTCCTGCTTATATAACAAAGCCCTGAACTCCCTCCTAAGCTGTCTGTTTTCCTGCGAAGACCTATTCTCCCTCTAACTCTCTCTTATCTTTGAGAGACTGAGCATTTTAAATCCCTGATCTGGAACTACAAAGATCTAACCTGGTCCTCCCACTAGGATGAGTCAGAAGACCAGATCTGTACCCGCACATGATATGCCTAATCTGATGAGTTGTTAACTAGGCTAGAGGACTTGAGAAAACAATCACAGAAACTGAATGAGTCATATTTGTAGTATCACAAAAATAATGCATTTCCTCATCACTGTTACTGTCATTTTCAGATTCAGTGTCTGGAGGAATCTTATACTCACTCCCTTATCCACAACCTCCCCCAGAGGATCTTATGAATTCCCTACAGTCAAATCCTCCTCTTTCATTGAGTGTGAAGGTAAACTCCATCATTTAAATCCCAATTTTCTGGTGACAGTGAAAATTGCTTTTCATGCAATTCTGTATTCCTTTAATTAATAGGATTTTGTGCCCATCCCTCTATCTGCATAAATAATATATCTGTTGAAAACGTGGTGCCTAATTCTGATCTCACCCTCACAAGTTTTACAGCAATGATGATTTCAGCTGGTTTACTTCTGGTTTGCACCACTGTAAGAGAAGAACTGTTCTTCTCTTATTACCTCTTCTTCCCCATGTTACAAAGTTACGTATGGGGAATGAATCTGGATGGTAACTGATTGTAAGATAATTCTCAATGTGGCTACTGATGCAGAGCAATAAAGAGTGCTTTCATATTGTATTGTGCTGTGATCACACCAGAGATGGAAGTAAGAGTGGGATATTTATTTTAAGAAATTTAAGAAAAGTTCTTAAGTGTGGTGGATTTGGAGATTCTAAAAAAGAGTTTAATCAACATTTATCACTAGATTCTAAATATTTTGAAGCAGGTTATGTTTTAAACCTCTAAACCTCACTGTCAATGTCCAATATAATGTGACACAAGATTTCCAGCCAGATGAGGAGGCTGTAATTAAATGCAATGGTTGCAAAGCTCCCTGCAAGGAAGTCAGTGTTTTGAAACTGTGTATGTTGAGAAGACTTATCAGGCTCTGGATGTAGGAGGGGCACATTAATATTTAAAATATTTCTTCCTTCATATGCTTTGTGATTTATAATCTCCAATGGAGATACTCATTCAGTAAAAAACAAACAGAGGAGTTGCCAAACTGGAAGCAATTTGGACTGGAAGGACAAATTATTTTGCAGTCAATGCCAAATTCCTCAGAAGTACGTGTAAAGCTCCTGTCAAGAACCTACATACAATTTAGAAATGCCAAATTCCTCAGAAGTACGTGTAAAGCTCCTGTCAAGAACCTACATACAATATTTAATGTATAACATAGAGAATATTTCTTCTTTATTCAGTTGATGATCAGCATTTATACCCTGAAGCATGAGGAGTGATAGTTCTTGTAACTTTACTTTGGGGTATGTCTATATTGCAATAGAAGACCCATGTCTGGCTGAGGTCAATTGACTCAGGTTTGAATTGTGGAACTGTAAAACTGTAGTATAGACCTTCAGACTTGGAGATCCCATGAGTTTTGAGGGTCCCAGAGCACAGGTTCTACCCTGAGCCCCAATCTCTCTACTGCAATTTTATAGCCAGCCCCACGAGCTCACCACTGGCCAGCTGCAGCTTTGCCACAGATTTTTATCACAATGTAGACACACCTTTAGTGTCACTCCTAATGCTATTCTTTAAATAAACATCTGATCATTTTAAAAAATCTAGCTTGCTAAGCTATTTGAGAACAAAACAAAATACATGGTTAAAATGTTTATTTTATAGCTATGTGAAAATTTAGGAATGTAACTGAAAACACTCCAAAACTGAGCTTATTTACATTTCTATGTAAACTCTAAAATTGCCCTTTCAGACACAAGTTACAACAAGTTCAAGAATTTTTCTCTTGGAAATAGGACATTTTTCAGTTAAAAGGGACCCACTTTTGAGGCAAAGGAGTGAAACTTCTCCCCAAAATTGGCAACATTTCAATACAAAATAAGTCTTTTTGCCAAGCAAAGTCTGTACCTACAACAAAATTCACATTATCAACTGTGTTCAATGCAAAATCCCCTTTCGTGCAAAAGTTTTCACAACAGCAAGCTATCAAAACAGAATTGTAAAAAATGTGGGGACTAATCATGTAGAAGAGCAGTCACAATTTTACACAACCCTTGTTTATTTTGCTATCAAGGAAGAAAAATTGTGGAGTAGAAAATGAACTCAGTAGGAATATCAACACATCACAGACAGACCTGAGAGGAATCCTGGATGTGAATTTTCTAACTTCAAGGGATATCCCTATAGGACTCTCATCCTGGAGTCCTAGGAGGCAAGGGGAGTTTTGCCTTGGATAGAAATACAGGACTAGATTTCTCAGAATCTATCCACACTGCTAGTTGGCTTTGGTACTGTGTTGTAATCAGGTTAGGGGGCAGATGTGTTGTAACCAGCTCCTATGACTTGGCTGTGTTGAAAAGGCCCTTAAAGTCCTTAGCAGAGAGAGAAATCAATAGTTCCAGTGAGATAAAACTTATTTTTTTGCTATTTCTAGCCCTGTGGTTCTTCTAGACCTCGGCAGGAAATGCTTGCTGATCTCCCTAGTGGGAGCCTTTTGTGGACCCAGGAGGAAGTGATAAATGCTACCAATGGCTTCAGTGAGGAGAACAGAATTAATGAAGGCATTTTTGCTGAGGTCTACAAAGGTCAGAGACACAATGTAGTATACGTCATTAAAAGGCTCAAAGAGGCAAGTACCTACTCTTCTTCTTTTTCTTCATTTATTTTTGAAGGGAATCATTAAACATCTTCTAAACATGAGCTACGTCTACACTGGCATCCCTTCCGGAAAAGGGATGCTAATGTAGCACGTTGGAATAGGCAAATCCGCGGGGGATTTAAATATCCCCCGTGGCATTTGCATTAACATGGCTGCCGCTTTTTTCCGGCTTGGGGATAAGCCAGAGAAAAGCGCCAGTCTAGACGTGATTCTCCGGAAAATAAACCCTTTTCCGGAGGATCTTTTATTCCTACTTGAAAGGGTTTATTTCCCGGAGAATCACGTCTAGACTGGCGCTTTTCTCCAGCTTATCCCCAAGCCGGAAAAAAGCTGCAGCCATGTTAATGCAAATACCGCGGGGGATATTTAAATCCCCCGCAGATTTGCCTATTCCAAAGTGTCTAATCTTCATCCCTTTTCCGGAAAAGGGGTGCAGTGTAGACAGTTGTCATTTAATACAAACAGATGAGTACTCAGAAATGCTATTTTTAGGAGGGGAAATGATTTCTACTGAGAAGCAAGATCTCACAAACATTTTTATATGTGCGATCTTTTATGCATGAGTAGCCTTATTGACTTCAATGGGACTACTAATATGAGTACCTGCATGCATAATTGTTGTTAGCCTGATAAAGCCTTTAGTTATTTATTTGCTTTTCCATTTATAAAATATGTTTTGGTTCTAGTTTAAATGAAGTCATTACTTCTGACAGACAATTGATTTCTTTGTATATTTTTGTGGCGTTTCTCATAGATGGAATGTACAAGCCAGAATTCAATACAAAGATTCTTTCATACAGAAGTACAGATGTGCTTTAGGTAAGTAGCTTTTTGGAAATTGGTTCTGGTCCCAGTCTATCTGGGGATTACCGGATCTTTTACAAAATAACAAGAAATAGTTTGATCTGTGTTAAGGACCAAATTTTGCCCTGTAGACACCATTCTACATTGATTATAGTGTAGATGTGTACTGACCCAGCAGAAGCGCTGAGAAGCAGCATGCCTCTTGCCTCCAAAGTTCACCTACGTGCTGGGGGAGTGGAGCCACGGTGCCTTTCCTTAAGCAGGTGCAGAGCAGTTCCTTTCTGCAGTGGAGCCTCACCTCTACCTAGTGTGGCAGGGGACAGCACTAAGCCCCACTACTTCTCTGCTTTAGTGGTAGCCTTGTATACTCCTCATATTCAGCGATGTGCAACAATTGTGATTCTGCTGTGCCGGTGTGTTCCAGGGACAGGAGTCAATACACAGTGTATTCTCTATGGTATGTCTACACTGAATGGCTATTTCGGGATACTGGAGGTATCCCAAAATAGCTACCCTGCATCTACACATGTCGCCTGTTACTTTGAAATAACGAGCATACTATTTTGCCATTCCGGTAAATCTTGTTACATGAGGGCTAAGGGATGGCTTGAAATAGTATGTTATATATGGAAATATACCATCTCATAGAGCTGGAAGGGACCTTGAGAGGTCATTGAGTCCAGTCCCCTGCCCTCACAGCAGGACCAAGTACCATCCCTGACAGATTTGACCCAGATCCCTAAATGGCCCCCTCAAGGGCTGAGCTCACAACCCTGGGTTTAGCAGGCTAATGCTCAAACCACTGAGCTATCCCTCCACCCCACAATTTTGAACATGTGCCAAATTTTGAAATAAGCTATTTCAAAATAGATTTGAAATGGGATACGCAATTTGCATAGCACAAATTTGCATAGGGGAAAAAAGGGAGGCGGTGTTGCCTTCTATATTAAAAATGTACACACGTGGACTGAGGTGGAGATGGACATAGGAGACGGGCATGTTGAGAGACTCTGGGTTAGGCTAAAAGGGGTAAAAAACAAGGATGATGTCACGATAGGGTTCTACTACAGGCCACCTATCCAGGCGAAAGAGGTGGATGAGGCTTTTTTGAAACAACTACCAAAATCATCCAAGGCGCAGGATTTGTTGGTGATGGGGGACTTCAACTATCCAGATATATGTTGGGAAACTACCACAGTGGGACACAGACTATCCAATAAGTTCTCGGACTGCATTGAAGACAACTTTTTATTTCAGAAGGTTGAAAAAGCTACTGCGGGGAAGCTGTTCTAGACTTGATTTTAACAAATAGGGAGGAACTGGTTGAGAATTTGAAAGTGGAAGGCAGCTTGGGTGAAAATGATCATGAAATCATAGAGTTCCTGATTCTAAGGTATGGTAGAAGGGAGAAGGGCAAATTAGAGACAGTGGATTTCAGGAAGGCAGAGAGCTGGTAGGTGAGGTCTCATGGGAAGCAAGACTGAGGGGAAAAACAACTGAAGAGAGTTGGCAGTTTTTCAAAGGGACATTGTTAAGGGCCCAAAAGCAAGCTATTCCACTGTGTAGGAAAGATGGCAAAAGACCACCTTGGCTTAACCACGAGATCTTGCTTGATCTAAAAATAAAAAAGGAGTCCTATAAAAAATGGAAAATAGGACAAATTACAAAGGATAAATATAGGCAAACAACACAGCAATGCAGGGCAAGATTAGAAAGGCAAAGGCACAAAATAAGCTCAAACTAGCTACAGGTATAAAGTGAAACAAGAAGACTTTTTATAAATACATTAGAAGCAAGAGGAAGACCAAGGACAGGGTAGGCCCACTGCTCAGTGAGGAGGGAGAAATAGTAACAGAAAACTTAGAAATGGCAGTGACTTCTTTGTTTCAGTCTTCACCGAAAAGTCTGATGAAGGAATGCCTAACATAGTGAATGCTAGTGGGAAGAGGG